ATGCCGGCTGGAAGATGGATAAGGGCAAAGATGATGCTTGTTTTATTCACCCACATATCCTGGCACCATCGTATATAGAGAGAGTGGATGACTGACTATGGATGACAATTCACATCTCTTGACCTGCACTTTATATACACTGGATCTGTGTGAGTCTCCACTGTAAACAAAAATTGAAGTTCTAAATTATATGAACTTGCCTCTTTACATTGAACTGTGACTTTCTTAGTTTGTTTAGTTTCTTTTGTTATAGTTACACTGTTCCCCCTTCAATGATTCCCCTAACAGCTGATGAACAAGTCTGCATTTAATTATTCATTAATTAGTTTGCTTTGGCAGATTTACATTCAAGCCCTCCTGTTTCAAATATGTTCATGCTAATAAAATAATTTCTTAGAAATAAAAGAAAAAAGATTGTATTAACACTATTAATTTCCAATGGTCAAAATATGATTTTTGGCCAGGTGCGGTGGCTCATGCCTGTAATCCCAATACTCTGGGAGGCTGAGGAAAGTGGATCATTTGAGGTCAGGAGTTTAAGACCAGCCTGGTCAACACGGTAAAACCCTGCCTCTACTAAAAATACAAAAATTAGCCGGCCATGATGGCGGGCACCTGTAGTCCCAGCTACTCGGGAGGCTGAGGCAGGAGAATTGCTTGAACCTGGGAGGTGGAGGTTGCAGTGAGCCAAGATCATGCCACTGCACTCCAGCTTGGACGACAGAGCGAGATTATGTCTCAAAACAAAACAAAACAAGAAAAACAAATGCAACTCCTCTAAGTTAGTTTTTGACTTTTTCACAGAAATACATTCTACTTTCTGCAGAAATAGCAAAGAACTGTGATATTTGGCATTTAGCTCCAGAAAGAAAGCCAGTAGAGGGAGCATAAGAACATAAAACTAGTTTCCTAAATCCCTAGAGATTAGAAAAATGTTATGCTTTGGCCTCTGGGCATGACTACTAGGTCGATTCCCTCATTAACCCACATTTTTGTATGACCTTCTGTACTGTAAGAGAGAATGATGGGGTGAAGGGCTATGACTCTGGACGCATACTGAAGACCTGCTTCTGAGTTTGCATCTGGAGTGATGGGACCTCCAAAGCTGCCCTTTAATGGAACTGGATTAACTTTAGGGTGTTCATTTTGTCCTTACAAAAATCTCTTTCCCAGAACTGAGACTTGCTGTGTTTGGGACCTCCTAGGGCCCAGAATGAGCCTACCACTTAGGAAGAGCTCAACAATATGTCTAAATCACCATGGACTCTCTTACAGGTCCTCACTCTAGCTTTACAGGAATGAGCTGTATTGCAGCCACATTCGTGATGGGCAGATACCACTGTTTAGGAACAATCATAAGGTAACATCTGACCTGCTACATTTGCCTTCCTGTTAGTTAGCGACCTTCCTGAGCCATTTCCTGTTTTTCTCAAATATATTTCTTGATAAAAATAAAGTGAAAATGCTTTAAACTCTTTAGGAAAGATAAGACACAATACCAAGGTCATATTTCGTATCAGAACAAGCCTGCAAAACATGGGACCCTTGAACCACATGTGGCTGACAAGAGTGCTTAGAAGCCGCTACTGTCCTTTTCTGACCTGGAGGCAACAATACAAAACTCAGAGGGCTCCTATCAGCCACCATACTGTGAGTGGGTGCGTGCCTGATTACTGAAGAGTCAAGAGGTCAGGCTGAAAGCCACCTCTGCCTAAAGCGAACCTGGGAACCATCAGGTCCATCACTAGGCCTGCGGAATGCACCTCTGAATTCTACCTTGAATCCACCCACTCCTTGTTTTCCCACTGTCACAGTCCCCTCTCAAGGGACACTTCCCTACTAGCTTTCCAATTCCACTCTCTACTGCCAGACAACCTTTTAAAATCCAATCAGGTCACCTTCTTTGCTTCAAACTCTTTAATGGTCTCTCAGTGACATCAGGATAATGCCCAGCACGGTCTCAGTGATGGGAAGTGACTCTTGCTTTCTGGCTGCCCCTCCACCCTGACCTCCCCTCTCCCTCCCTCATACCCAGTGCTTCCGCCATAAAAGAGTGACTAGCAGTTCTCAAGAGAGCCATGCTCTTGCACATCTCCTTGCCTTGAACACGCTGGTTTTCTCTGCCTGAGATGCTCTTCTCAGTTGTTTTCCATGAACTCAATACTTACTCATCCCCAAAGATCTCAGGTCAGGCAGACTCCCGAGGAGGCCGTTCCTAACCGCCTCCACCTCCTTCGAGTGGGCTGCCCTTCTGTGCTCCCGGAAGCGCAAGGTGCTCGCTCCCACCAGCCCCTGCCAGCATGCACTAGAACTGTGCTTTAGTTTTTGTCTCTCACTGGGTTGTGAAGAATTTGAGGATAATGACAATTTTACTCTGTGACTGGGAGGAATGGCTGAGATGACAAGGGACGGCACAGAGCATAAAGAGAAGAGGATCCAGGGAAGATCCTGGGGACACAACCGACCACAGGGGAGCCCGAGAAAGCCAGCAGCATCATAGAAGAAAAGCCAAAGGAAGGCAGTTACAGCCAGAAGGAATGGCCACAATGTAAAATGCTGCTGAAAAGTTAAGTACGACAAGGTTTACAACGTGTCCCAGCAGGCCACTGGTCACCTCAGGGACAGCAGTTTCAGTGGCATAGTAACGACAAACCAGATTGCAGGGAGCTGGAAGGCAAATTGGAAGTGAAAAATGCGAAGCAGCTGGGAAAATTATATTCTTCTAAGAAACACGGCTGTTTGCTACAACTTGGATGAACCTTGAGGACATTATGCTGAGTGAAATAAACCAGTCACAAAAGGACAAATACTGCATGATTCCACTCTTATGAGTCACCTAGACTAGTGAAATTCATAGAAACAGAAAGCAGAGTAACAGTTTCCAGGGACTGGGAGGGTAGGGGGAGAGGATGGGGAGTTCATGTCCAAGGGAACAGAGTTTCAGTTTCACAAGATGGAAAAGGTTCTGGGATGGATGGTGTTGATGATTGCACAACAGTGTGAATGCAGTTAATGTCACTGAATAGTACATTTAAAAATGGTTAAAATGGTAAATTTTATGTTTTATACATTTTACCACGATTTTTAAAGCATTGCTATTAAGAGAATAAGAAGGAACTTGCTATAAGACACGGGATTGAGAGGGTGTTGGTTTGTTTTTCTACCAGAGGCAAAAAACATAAGCATGTTAATAAATTGAAAAGAGTTAGTCAAAAGAGAGACCAAGGCAATCCATTTTGGTAGGGACACCCTGCGAATAGCCTGGGGCCAGAGGAAGGCAGCTCTCCTGCACTGAGGAGAGGAGAAGTGGCGAGAGAAAAAGTTTGTTTGTTGGGGTCGGGGGGCTATACAGTGGGCAAGAAATACTTTTTTTTTTTTCTTTTTAGGCTTCTATCTGACAGCTTTTGAAGGAAGAGGCAAGGAATGAGATGGGGATGGGGGCTTGGGAAGGATGGTGAAGGTCTCTGTTTAGGGGCCTGGAAGAAGGAGCGAACTGAGGACAGGGAGAGTGATTATTAGGCAACTTCATAAGTCTACACAGGAAATCCTGAGTGTGCAATGGTAATGATGGTCTAAACCTCAAGGCAGTGTGACTACTATAGACCCAGCAGCTGGCTGCACAACAAGAAAAGGTGGAGAGTTAGTCTGAATCAGACAGGCTTGCCAAGAAGGCAGAATATTTACATTCACAGAACTGAGAATGCTGGGAAGGCATGGGTGAAGCGATGCACCACTGGGAGGAAAGGTGATGCAGGGGCTGAGACGCTGGAAAAATGGAGGGACCACAGGCTGGAATGCGCCACAAGGGGAAACAGTAAGTGGAATGAAGAAAGGGTGTAGGGAATTGGAGAATGAGGAGGCTGAAGTCTGCGTAAAGCACAGAAGTTTAAGACTTCTGAGGTGGGACAGTTCTGGGTCCTCCACAGAACCCCAGGCCCAGTCTTGGCCAAAGTGTAGGTGAGGGTGTAAGTGGCTAAAAAAGAAATTCAGTCAGGGAAGACCAGGGTCCTATCCATAGGGGATATTTCCATGTGTTCTTCCTCCCAAAGGCATAAATAATTCAGATGATCTTTTATGAATCTTCTTCCTTGTATTCAATTTTCTCCTTACTATATGTTTCTTATTCTAGCATTCCATTTCCCTTTAGGAAGCCCCTTATGATCTAGGTATTATCCAATTTTATATCCTCTTTCCCCTACTTTTTTTCTTATCGACATCTAAACTCAGTATTATCTCATTTTACACAAAATCATGGGTTGGTAGCTGGTAGAAAACGGAAAGGCCCTTTAAGAACCATGAAAACTGGCAATGACTCATTTTCTAGGGTCGATATGTTCTAGAGTCAATAGTACATGTTAAAACTACGAGTAAAAAATTAATCATCATCATTGATCAAGTCTTTCAAAGGCTAAACATGAATATTTTATACTACCTTGCTTAAATGACCCTGAGCACAGCAATAACGTAAAGGGGACCTTAGGTTTTAACCTGAAAAGGATATGAAGGAAGTAAAGTTGGAGAGGAACTTGAGCCTTTTCACAAAGTCTAGCTACTCATGAAGAATATATCTGTCTTTCCATTTGACTTGGAAGTGGGAATCTTTCTTGTACACCATCTTCTAACTCCAGGAAAGGCAAGGTCAGACCAAGGTAGCTGTCTTTTTGGCCTTCTGGGGTTTCAGCCGTCTGAAGCCACATGCTCTCAAACAATGCCTCATTAATGTATGCCAACACTGGCTTTCTCTGGTGCAATATGACAGAGAACCAAATTATCAACATTTTCAAAATAGATTGGTTTCTCTTTTGTTTGGATTATACAGAAAAATGTTTGACGTTATATTTTACTGAACCATTTTGAAATCAGTTAAGCGTATCATGTGTATCTTTGCACAAGCATGGACTGTACTTTGCCACTTTCAAAACATATCTGAACATCAGGAGATGCAGCAGGCGATATCTCACTGTGCTATCAGCATATGATGATTTTGCTGTTAATCGTACCTGTGTGTCCTCTGAATGTTGTGACCAGGGTGCAGTTTTCTTGCTCCAGTTTGAGGATTGTTACTTGGCCTGAGTGGTCACCAATAAACACATGCCGGGTTTCAACATCAAATCTATCATGTAAGCATTAAGGATTGTTTCTCAAAATTAAATGGGGGAATTTACAATGAAGAAACAGGGCATAAATGTAACAAGAAATACGCAAATCCCATCTGAGGAAAACTTGAAGACAGTGCTGAACGACACAAAAGTGAACTTAACCAAATGAAGGACATACTGCATTATTGGACAGTAAGACTTAAAAATGTCACTTCTTGCTCCTAAATTAATAACATAAATCTATATATTTTAAAAATATCACCACATGTTGTTTTCTACAGCTAGAAGTGTTCATATGGAAAAATAAATAAGCAAAAAGAGCCAAGAATACTCTGAAAATAAGAACAATATGGTATGTGATAGGGAGGTTAGCCCTACCAGATATTAAAAAATGTTATAAAGTTTCTTTAATTAAAAGTGTGGTATTGGTGCATAAACAGACTGACAGAATACAAAGTTGCAAAATAAACCCAAAAGCACATTGAAATTTAGTAAATGTCTGATGAAGGTAGCTTTACAAATGAATAAGGAAAAGATGAATTTAAAAAAATGATGTTGGCACAAACTGGATAGCCATTTGGAAAAAGAAAATAGAATCTGTATTTCACAATGTATACCAGGACAGATTCCAAATGAATTAGGGATCTAAATGTAGAAAATGAAAACAGAAGCTTTAGATAGGAAAGTTTCTTTGTAACCTTGGAGTGGGAAAAGCTATGACTCAAAAACACAACAAATATTATGAGCAAAGCCAAAAGATAAACTGGAAAAAAATATTTGCAATTTATGTCACAAAGGGCCCAAATCTCTAATACAAAAAGAGCAATCAAGAAGAAAAAGATCCCAAACCTAATAGAAAAATGGGCAAAATTTGAATGGAGCTATTAATAGATAGTTCGAGAATAAATCAAAATGGTGCTGTGCAAAAAGAGTTAACACAGCAGCTCTGACTGTGATCCTCTGAAAGCCAGCTTATGAAGTTGGCATAGTGTCTGGGAATCTGGATTTTGGGAAGGTTCCCACCATTAACTGATAAGAGTGGTTCACTGTGCCTTAACTGTTCAAACATTGTGGCTTACACTGAATACCTGCTTTCCTTCTGGGAATCTAGAATTTTGGAATGTCCCAGGCAGACCTGCCTACATGACCAGTAAAAGCCCTAGGCATGGAGTCTCTAACAAGCTTCTCTGGTTGACAAAGCCTAGCAACCCTATTTCTAAAGATCTACCCAGAGATACACAGGCAAAAATACAAAATGACACATGCCCAAGGCTAGTCACTCCATGTTATTTTAATAGCTAAAGTTTGAAAATAACCCAAACGTCTATCAACAGGAGACTTACTGAATTAACTATGCTACATCCACACAATAGAATATTATGCAGCTGGGGGAAAAATGGAGATCTGTATACACAAACACCAGGATATATTATCAAGTGTGTGTGTGGGGGGGGGGGCAGCCAAGGCATATCAGAGTTTATAAGCTATACTACCTTTGTGTGAGAAACGGAGAGAAATACAAAAGTGTATATATGTATGTGTGTGCATTTGCATGTGTGCACTCATATTTAGAAAGGGAAGCACTAGAAGGATTAAGATCTAACAAAAGTGGCAAGGTGAGGGGACAGTGATGGGAATGAGACTTCTCCCCTGTCATAGCTCCTATTTTAGAATTTTGTAATATTTTTACGTATTAAAAGGTACATAAAATTTGTGACCAGGCACAGTGGCTCATGGGAGCCACTTTGGGAGGCCAAGAAGGGAGGATCACTTGAACCCAGGAATTTGAGACCAGCCTGGGCAACAAAGTGAGAACTCACCTCTACAAAAATTAAAATAATTAGCTGGGCATGGTGGCACATGCCTGTGATTCCAGCTACATGGGAGGCTGAGACAGGAGGATTGCCTGAGTCCAGGAAGTCGAAGCTGCAGTCAGCCATGTTCAAGCCACTACACTCCAGCTTGGGTGACACAGTGAGACTCTGTCTTAAAAAAAAAAAAAGAAAAAAAGAATATATATATGTAATATATATATACATATATATCTCAAATATATTTTTTTAAAATCCCCCAAATTGAAAACAAAGTAAAATGAATGAACCTAACTATCAAATTGGTGACATAATCACATAATTAGAACGATTTCAAGTGCCTTTAAAACACAACATTTTCAATGTTTCAGTGTCTCATTTTGTTGTCCAGGCTGGTCTCAAACTCCTAGGCTCAAGTGATCCTTCCACCTTGGCCTCCCAAAGTGCTGGGATTACAGGTGTGAGCCACCGTGCCTGAGCAAAAATTTTATGTATTTTTTAATATGTAAAAATATTACAGGATTCCAAAATGGGAACTATGACAAGGGGGAAGTCTCACCTCCATCACTGGTAGAATATATTCTAAGGACAAAGAGAGTTGCAAAGAAATCTAAAATCTCATTCAGTAGTCTTATTGTTATTTAGTATTGCTCATTATTTTGGAACCATTTAAATAAAACGTAGGATAAAGCAAACGAGGAACTACGCCAGTGTTTTAACAACCAAGATTTTCAGCCTCAGATAAAAGAATCAAGTACAAAAACCAAAAAGTAAAAATCCCGTAATGTTAAATTTGAATAAGAAATATTATATTAACTGATGATTTATTCTCTTTTAAAAAATACACACACATTTATATATACTTCTCAGCTATCTCTGAATATTGTTCCTCACTAAAAAAATGGCTGATTCCAGGATTGGGATAGGAAAAGTACAAGATGAACTTGAGACATGTTGAGTCAGAAGGCAAGGAAGCTACCCAAGGCTAAGTGGGCTTATTTCAGACACGGTGGTAAGGGATGAACAGGTAGAGTACAGAGGCTACTTAGAGCAGTAAAACTATTCCATATGATGCTACAATTACCATTGTAATTGTAGCTTGTCTTTATATATTTGTCCAAATCCACAGAACGCACAACACCAAGAGTGAACCCTAAACTATGGACTTCGGGTGACAATGACGTGCCAGTGTAGGTTCACTGACTGTAACAAGCGTACTACTCTGGTGGGGGATGCTGGTAATGGGGAGGCCGTGCATGTTGAGCTCATGAGGCACATAGGCAATCTCTATACTTTCTGCTCAATTTTGCTGTGAACCTAAAATTGCTCTAAAAAATAGTCTTTAAAACATAAAAATTGGGCTGGGTGCGATGGCTCATGCCTGTAATCCCAGCACTTTGGGAGGCCGAGGCGGGCGGATCATGAGGTCACGAGTTCAAGATCAGCGTGGCCAACATAGTGAAACCCCGTCTCTACTAAAAATACAAAAAATTAGCTGGGTGTGGTGGTCGGCGCCTGTAATTTCAGCTACTCGGGAGGTTGATGCAGGAGAATCGCTTGAATCCAGGAGGCAGAGGTTGCAGTGAGCTGAGATCGTGCCATTGCACTCCAGCCTGGATGACAATAGTGAAACTCCATCTCAAAAAAAAAAAAAAAAAAATTTTAAAAAGACATTGGAGCCCATTTAATGGACCTGTTACTGGCCAAAGATAGAATAACTGGAACATAAAATAAAAAGATGGCAGTTTATTGAAATATACTGAACATATTATTATTTAAAAACAACCAATCAACCTAAGATTTCGTAATAGTGCTCAAAAAGAAAAAAAAAAAGATTCCTATTAAAAGTAAACAGGGCACCAAATTTGTACTCTGAAAATTAGGACTAAAAAGAAAGATATAAGAATTTATCTTGCTTTTCCTATAATAATTGTATTTCAGGGTAACCAAATAGCCCTAGTTAGTGAGGGGGGGAAGTTATGCTTTAGAAGTATTCCAACAAATACATGGGAAAAATACGATAGGATTAGAAAATCACCATTTTGCAACCTTAACGAAAAAGTGTTCCGGCAAAGCTCAACAATAGATGAAACCATTAAAAGGCTGGTATGGAGGACGGCGCTGCAGGGATCCGGCTGTCACCACCTGAACTGCCGATCAATCTCAGCATAACTGAAAGGGCGACAATGCAATGCCATGTGCCTTATAATGGGAACCTCTATGAAGCACGCTTGGTGAGAACCAAATGCTCTCACTAAAAGGCTGAATCTGAATGAAATCAAGATTATAGGGCAGTTTTTCAGTTTACTGAAAATATGTGAGGAAGGTACGTACAGGAGCAAGTTAAATGACATCAATTTAGAATGTGGGGCTGTGTGCAGGAGAACTGATTCAGTACCTTCAACGAGGCAGTGGCATTAAAAAAAGTGAAGGGGGCACTGCTCTGGATGAAGAAAGATTTAGAAGATGTGACAACCACATGCAATGTGTGGATCTTGTCCAGATCCAATTTCCAACAAACCTACTGCACAAAAATCATTTTCAAAATAATCAGTGAAATCTGAAATTCAACAATATCAAGGAGATCAAAGATTGTTAATTTTTAGATGTAACAATAGCATTGTGATTACCGAAAAAGTAACCCATATATTTTCAGTGAAGTATATAAGGATAAAATGATATAAGGTCTAGAATTTGCTTTAAAATACTCCAGCAAAAACTGAGAGAAAGCAAAAAGGGATAGAAGAACCAACAGTGGATGTGAATGACTGGCATTAAGTATGATAGGAAGAAACTGACATAATCTTAACAGCTTTTCAGAACTCTTCACCTGAACAGAAATAAATCTAAGAGATTACATTAGGTGGGAAACATTCCACTACACATGGTGACATTTTGGAAATATCTCTGACATGAACAAAATCCTAAAATAGAGTATTTGAATTATTTTTGTGAAAACATGAAAAATATGATAAAAACATGGTCAAATAACAAGACACTGACAAATGACGTTGGATAAAGTATTCACAAATTTAAAGACTAACAAGTGAAGTGGGGAAGGAACACATTTCTATTTACTATCATCTACCTTCCATGGGGCGTTTGGGAAGTAACCCTATTCTGCTGTACCCAGTTGTGCAGAGGGCTGGCTGAAAAATTATAATCCCCAAATTCTAATCCTGGTTCTGCTAGCCAACAGTCACGTGACCTTGAGCAAGTCACCTACTCTCTGAGCCTTGGTTTCTACACTGTGAAAACTGAGAATTAGGTCTTTTGTTTTTACTTCACATTATTGTTTTGACAGTGAACAAAGTAATATGTAAAAGCTTGAAAATCTAAGATATTTTCAGGGCCTGCAAATCTAAGATATTTCTTTCTTTATCCTTTTCCTTTCCTCTCCTTCTCTATTATTATTGTCATTCTTGTTGTTCCTATTACAGGTAATTTATATTTGAAGTTTCAGATCTTCAGTCAAAACAATCGAAAAATTTGAGGTTACTCATAAATTGACAATTCAATTTATGAACCAGTCTCTTTGTCTTCCTTTATTTTTCTACTTGAATTTTGGTCATTTTCATTGCATATTTACTTCTCCACTAAGATGCCTGAAAGAAGAGGAATAAAGGCTGAATTCAATCTGATTTAGTCTGTCACTTGTTGCCTTGGCTGAATGACTGTTTGAGGTGGTGATAGAAGAGAATGAGTTCATCTGTGGAGGTCTCTTATCAACCATTAGCTGTCTACTATGAAGATAAATAGGATTAATGATATTATTCATAATATTTTATGTTGATTCATCAGATCTTCCTCCTCCCTTCATCACTAAAACAAACAATGACAAAACCAAAACCCCTGTAAGTGTGGAGGGTGACAAAAAGAAGGAAGAGAGGGGAGGTGGTGGGAGGTTCTCAGAAGGAAATGTTTTTAAAAGCTAAATTTAAATGTGAACCCCTAATACTGTATGGCTTGCCTATTAATCTATCAGCCAGCTCCCAGAAAAAACTTCTAGCCTTAGAAAAGTCACATGGTTCTTGGCTGAGACCCTCTGGCAAAAGCACAGAGCTGTCATGCCATCAGTGTTTAGCAATGGAAAAATACTCAAGAGCAAAGGTTGAAACCATGGCTCCAAAATCATAGTTGGCAAGGCAGAGCTGGCAGAGGTCAGGGAATCTTCTGGGAGGGCCTGTCTGTAGTACTGCACCTCTCCACCACCTGAACAGTGAGGCTGGCTGGATGGAACTGAAACCAGAGACTCTCACACACACAGGCTTCTCATACCCAACCACACGACTTTCTGCTTGGTAAACCACATGATGTGGGAAAAGGGAATAGTCACCAAATGAGGATGACTCCTGGAGATGCCCGAAGGGAGAAGCTGTGGTGGTTATAATCCTACATCAAAGACTACATCAGTCAGGGAAAGTTGGACACTATCTATTTGTTTTTTATTTTCAAATAGTTTAAAAAGTTAGCTTCCTGAGGGCAAGATCTGTATTTTTTTTCCATACTTGCTGGGCTTGGCTAAGTGATACAGAAACCAGAATAAGATCAAATTATATTGAGGCCATTAGTTCCTTTTTGAAGGAGCAATGCAGTACAATGGGAAAAAAATAGGAGTCCAAGGCAGAAGGTCTGGATTCTTGTGAGGATTTTCCTACTTACTAGCTGGGTGGCCTCAGATAAGACACAGGACTCTTTCTGGGCTTCAGCCAGCTCATCTGTAAAATGAAGGTAGTATAGACTGAATTCTAAAAAAGTATTTAATTGACAAAGATTGTATATATTCAAAATGTTGAATGTGATGATGTGATATACATATACACTGTGTAATAATCATGGTCAAATTGATTAACACATCCATCACCACCCAGTTACAGTGTGTGTGTGTGTGTGTGTGTGTGTGTGTGTGTGTGTAAGAAACAGAGAGAAAGAGATAAGGAAGACAGAATGATTATGTCTCCCCCAAATTCATATGTTAAAACCTAATTCCCAATGTGATGGTGTTTGGAGATGAATCCTCATGAACGGGATTAGTGCCCTTATAAAAAAAGGCCACAGAAAGGTCCTCTGCCCTTTCACCATGTGAGGACACAGCAAGATGTTGTCTATGAAGCAGGAAGCAAGCGCCCTCACCAGACACTGAACCTGCTGGTGCCTTGATCTGAGAATTCCCAGCCTCCAGAATTGTGAGCAATAAATTGCTGGTGTTTAAAGGATACCCAGTTTACAGTAATTTATGATAGCAGCCCAAATGGACGAAGACAGAGGGTTGGACTAGGTGATCTCTAAGTGTCCTTCCAGCTCTAACACTAAGACGTCATTTATGTATTGGCAAGAGAGTTCATGTATTTCAACTTACGTATTATGCTCATCTGAATTGGCTTTTAGAAAGTAAAGTTTGGCGTTTTCTTTTATTAACCGGTAGTACTACCCTCTCAAAGATGAGCTGATCCTGCCTGCCATTCCTTATCATCCTTGCCTTTGGTCTTCTCAGCAACTTGCTACTTTTACAACTTTCCACAATGGTCATTCTTAGTTTCTTCACCTTGCTCTTCTAGTGAGAAAAATAAGAGTGATATTAGCCTATATATACACAAAAATATACCTTTGAATGCCACACAGTTTCACAGAAACAGCAATGTACTTTGTCAGATGTTGAGAATCACTGAATAGGCATTTTATAAATATGGAGATGAAATTAGAAAGCAGGACTTACTGTTTCTTCCTGCTTTCCCTGACTAGTGGCCTGTTTCTACCTACTTCTTAATTTGTCAGAAGATAAAGAGACCATATGCTTTTAAAACTAAGAACCCAGGGTCCTTTACTCCCTACAGTGGTAGCCGCATCCACACGTGCTACACACTAGTCATTACTGTGCTTGCTGGAGCCTAGTTGGGCAGATGTGAGCATTACCCAGCATCAGCAAGGATTCACCATGAGCATGAGGACCCTGGCAATTTGGGAAACAAAAATATCACTCTACATATCCTGAAAATGTCTCATTCCTGGAACAAAGCTTTTAACATCACCATGTAGATACCAGCTCACCCACTCTGGTCCTAGCTTGGTAACCTGGCAATAACTATTTAAAACTGAACAGGAATCCTGTGGTTCTTTTCCCAGGCACCAATAGGAATGTTCACAACCTTGGTATCTATGTGTAAATTACTTCTGTACGAAGAGCAAAGATTACATTTTGGTGATGATTTCATCTTCATGTACCATAATTATTTCTGACAGCTGAGGTTCATGAATCTGCACTGTGTTCTGTCTAGATGTCAGACCTTGTGTTACAGTAGACTCACAAATGGCTCAGCAGTCTATTATTTCAGGTCAAGTGATCGCGCTTCACTCTACTTACATGGGAACTCTTGATGATTTGTGCCTTAGGAAATTCTATGAGCATTGTAATCTATACTGGGCAACTCAGTCATTAACAAAACTTTCAAGTTGCACACATCCCAAAATTTCATGAATCAGAGTTAAGTTCCTACTAAGAGATTTTTGTCCAGCAAAGGATACTGCAGACCTGAGGCCACGGCACTGGTACGATAACCTCCCAGGCGCTGCCCACTCTCAGAGCAGTGCCAGGCAAATTGCTTGTCCTGTCCTGTGCTCAGCACCCACTCCAGCTCCAGGACAAACAGGATCATCGTCACTCTGCTCTGATGCGCTGAAAACCAAGAGAAAAGAAAACAACCTATAAAGCATCCTAAGGAGGCTGGAAGAACACGGCCCACAGAGATTCACCATTCTCTTCTTCTCTCCACCCCAGAATAAGCTGAACGGCAGAACCATTTTAAGGACAAGGTAGAACAGTGGTTCTCGTCGGGGGTGGGGGTATTCCCCTGTAGACTGGTGTGTCTGAGTGTTTTTGGTGATTAAAATAAAACTATCCATCTCTTCCCAATGTTCCCCCTCTGCCCCATTTGTGCCAACACAAGGATTATTGCCACACATAGCTCCTGTTACCAAAGGGCCTGGGCCACTTCCTCAGACAAGCTAGGGCTGCTGGACTGGAGAGAGCCACATCCAGTGTGACCACAAAACACAATAGGAGCGATGTTCATATATATCACTACCATCAGTTTATGTGCACTTATAAAAAAACTGGAGCATACCGTTATTCTTTTAATGAAGTCTGTCTTATAAAGTCATACAAAAGTTCTAGATGAACACTTTCTTTCAGAAATTAAATGCATGGAAGGAGGACAGAATTATTCCTAAGAACCATATAGAAGAAAGTGAAGTATCCCTTATGCCAAAGTGTGTGTGTTTGTACAAATGATAATAAGAGCAAATTTTCTAGAGTTGTTAATAAACAAGAGTAACATGATCACAGTTACCACATCACACAATTCCAGAATTAGAAGAGGCTATTCATATCAGTTAACCCATCTCCCTATTTTACACATGGGAAAAGTGAGGCACAATGAGGTGGAGTAGCTTGACTGAGGTCTTAGAGCTTCTCAGTTACCGAATGAAATCAGGTGGAAGGATTTTTGCCTTATTATATATTCCAGGCAGTAAGGTGGAGGGCATCTGCAGTCACTGAACAGAGCTGACTGGAATGAACAAAGACTGACATCCTGCAACCTGGACCTCCCCGGGCCCTGCTCCCAAGGGCTGGCAGTCTGACGGGGCATGAACACACTCATCATGACTGTGGTGAGGTCACAGAGAAGACACTGGTTTCACATTTTGATCATGAACACAGAGTTAGACAGTATGGATGGACAAATGCGACTCTGCTGACAATAATATCATCTGCCAATTTTTGAATGTCTAACAAGTGCCAGGCACTTAAATACATTCTCTAGCTTAATCATTGTAATGACCCTGCAAAGTGGATGATTTCATCATTTTACAACAAATACAACCTTAGCAAGATGGCCCCTTGGGATTGCTACCATACAATACAGTCAGAACCAGAGTGAACAGCCACAGGGCAGTCATTCAACAAATGCCTGATGTTTTAAGAGCTGGTATTTGAAGCTTGGAGAATCTAAGGGAGTAGGGAAGCAGTGACACTGTGATGTCTACAACACACATCTGCTTTCAGGGTACCAGCCACCATCAAGATCAAAACACAGGCTTTAACTAAAAGATGTGTCTTCTTGGAGAAACTCGTGAAGATCTTTTTATGTCTCTATCATCAAATGTTCAATTCAAGTTCTATCAGTGAGGGAATAAAAAGTGAACTCTCTAATGAGTTCAAGTATACTCAAGTCTATTTCAAGCAGAAAGTGGCCCCTAGCACCTCACCCCTCTTTTCACTGAGGGGGCCTTTAGCCTTCTATCTATCATATTCGAGTCCAAGGGGATGACAGTAGCCCTAGATGATAAGGGACTTTAGCCCTCTGAGCGGCCTTCCTGTGCCAGAGAAGGCAGAGGCTAGAAATGTTAAGTGGCTTGCTCAAAGCTACAAAACCAACGAATGACAAAGATAGAATAAAAATCCTGTTCTCCCTGATGTCAAAGTTGGTCCACTCTCTCAGTGTCAGGCTACCTATGATTACCAGAAAACAAAAACGAACAAAAAAACCCCAAAACTCAGATCACATACTTTTGTTTAAGGTGAAAAAGATTCTTTTATTGAAAAAAAATTCAAAGATAGATAACTTATCACTAAGCTTCAGAAACTCCTAAGAAAAACGTGGGTTTGAATAGGAGTGGTGAGAGGGACCTCTTCCTTGCCTTGATCCTGATCTTAGAGGGAAAGCATCTCTTTTATCACCATTAAGGACGATGTTAGCTGCAGGGTTTCTGTAGATATTTCTTTATTGAAGAAGCTCCCCTCTAGTCCAAGTTTGCTGAGAATATTTTATAATGAACTGGATTTTACCAAATGCTTTGCCACATTAAATTAACAATATGATTTTTCTTCTTTAACCTGTTGACGTAATGGATTACACTGATTTTTGAATGCTGAACCTGCTTTGCCTATCTGGAATAAATCCCACTAGGTCATGCTGTGTAATTCTTTTTATATATGGTTGGGGTCAATTTGCTAGTTTTTTTTTTTTTTTTTTTTTTTAAGGAGACATACTGGTCTGCAGTTTTCTTTCTTGTAATGTCTTTGGTTTTGGGATCATTTATTGATTTTTAAAATTCTGTATTGAGGTAAAATTCACATAACACAAAATTCACCACTTTAAACATTTTAGAGTATGTAATTCACTGGTTATTAGTTACTCACAATGTCGTGCATCATCACTATTATCTATTTCCAGAACATTTCCATCATCCCAAAATGAAACTCTATATCCCCAACTCCCACTTCCCTCATCCTTGGAAAACACTAATCTATTATCTTTCTCTATGAATTACCTCTTATTCCTGACACTTCATATAAGTGTAATCATACAACACGTGGCCTTTTGTGTGTGGCTTTTTTCTCTTAGCATAAGTTTCCAAGGTTCAACCATTTTGTAGCCTGTACTTCATTCCTAAATGGCTAAATAAGTCAATGCATATATATATACCACATTTTGTTTATCCATTCATCACTGATGGACATTGAGGTTACTTCCATTTTTTTGGCCATTATGAATAACGTTGTTATGAAGAGATATGTATGAGTTTTTGTGTGAATACTGTCATGCTCCACCTAACGATGCTTCAGTCAACTGTGGCACCATAAGAGTATAATGCAGCTGAAAGGGCGTGGCTGTTCTAGCACAATGCGTTACTCACCTATCTGTGGTGATCCTGGTGAAAACAAACCTATTGTGCTGCCAGTCATATAAAAGTATAGCACCTGCAATAATGTTACTTGATAATGATACTAAATGACCATGTTACTGGTTTATGTATTTACCATACTATACTTTTAAAATCAGCATTTTAGAGTGTACTCCTTCTTTTTATATATATTTTTAAAATGTTAACTGTAAAACAGCCTCATGCAGGTCCCACAGGAGGTATCCAGAAGAAGGCATTGTTGTGATAGGAGGTGACAGCTCCATGGGTGTTATGCCCCCTGAAGACCTTCCAGTGGGACGAGCTGTGGAGGTGGAAGACAGTGATATTGATGATTCTCACCCTAAGTAGGCCTAGGCTAATGAGTGTGTTTGTGTCTTAGCTTTTAACAAAAATGTTTAAAAAATAAAACAAATATTAAAAATTTAAAAAACAAAAAACCTAGAGAATAAAGGTATGAAGAAAAAATATTTTGTACAGTTGTGTTTGTGTTTTAAGCTCTGTTATTACAAAAAAGCTGAAAAGTTGAAAAGATTAAAAAGTTTATAAAGTAAAAATAGAGTTCACTAGGTTTATTATTGAAAAAACATTTTTAAGCAAATGTAGTGTAGCCTAAGTGTACAATGTTTATGAAGTCTACAGCAGTGTACAGTAATGTCCAAGGCCTTCACATTCACTCACTACTCACTCACTGACTCACAGAGAGCAATTTCCAGTTCTCCAAGCTCCATTCATGGTAAGTGCCCTATCCAGGCAAACCATACCATTTTTTAAATCTTTTGCATCAAATTTTTACTGCACCTTTTCTATTTTTAGATATGTTTATTGTAACAAATACCATTGTGCTACAACTGCCTACAGTATTCATAACAGTAACATGCTGTACAGGTGTGCAAGCCTAGGGAGCAACAGGTTATACCCTCTAGCCCAGGCATGTAGCAGGCAATCCCATCTAGGGGTGTAAGTACACTCTCTCATGTTCACACAGCATTGAAATCGCCTAGCAATGCATTTCTCAGAATGTGTCACCGTCATTAAGCAACACATGACTATGCTTTCAGTTCTCTTGGGTACCTAACTAGAAGTAAAAATGTTGTGTCACAAGGTAACTTTATATTTAACTCTTTGAGGAACTGCCAAACTGTTTTTCAAAGTGGCTACACCATTTTACATTCCCACCCACAGTGTTCCAGGCCTGGGTGCGGTGGCTCACGCCTGTAATCCCAGCACTTTGGGAGGCTGAGGCAGGTGGATCACCTGAGGTCAGAAGTTCAAGACTAGCCTGGCCAACACGGTGAAACCCTGTCTCTACTAAAAAATACAAAAATTAGCCAGGCATCAGTGGCGAGCACTTGTAATTCCGGCTACTTAAAAGACTGAGGCAGGAGAATCACTTGAACCCGGGAGGCAGAGGTTGTAGCAAGCCGATATCACGCCACTGCACTCCAGCCGGGGCGACAAGAACGAAACTCTGTATCAAAAAACAAAACAAAACAAAACAAAAAAACAAAAACAAAAAGAGGGTTCTAATTTCTCCACATTCTTGTCAACACTGCTTTCTTTTTTTTTTTTTGAAAGGAATTAATATTTATTGGACCATTAAACTATGTTTCAGATACTTCACTAAGTAATCCACATATGTAATCTTTTAATATTTTTATTGTATTAAAATATACACAACAAAAAATTTACAACTGAAACCATTTTAAGCATACCATTCTGTGGCATTAAGTACATTCACACTGTTGTGTAACCATCACCACCTTTCACTCTCTAGAACTTTCTCATCTTCCCAAACTGAAACTCTTTACCCACTAACTCGCCATTTCCCCCTCTCCTGGCCCTTGGCAATCACCATTCTCCTTTCTGTCTCTATGAATTTGATTACAATAAGTACCTCATTTATAAGGGAAATCTTTCAGTATTTCTTCTTTTTTTTTTTTTTTTGACATGGAATCTTGCTCTGTCACC